GATCAAAAAGGTTTTCACGAAGTTGTTTTCAAAAAGGTTGAAAAAAATGTTTTCACAAAGAATGAGTGATAAAAAGGTTTTCACAAAAGATTTTCAAGGTGCAAGATAAGTAGGAAAATGCCTAATAGTGTACAAAGTGAACTATCAAAGGGAGGTGGACTACAAGGAATCACTTAAAAACCAAGCCTTATCAAGTAGGAATCACTAAGCCCTTTCACACTTTTCTTACAAAACAATTTTTTTGCAGTAAAGTTAGGTGTGTGTGTGCACGGCCCCCTAGTAGGCAAATTGAAGCCTTCTAAAATGAAAATAATTAAAGTAAAAGACCTAAACAATTATACTACCAAATCACTAAAGCATGCAAAGAAAGCAACTAAAGCATGTGCTAGTCGGATTCCCACTACTACAAGATGCATATTTTACATCGGTTCTCTAAAGTCATCTACATCAGTTCTAAAACCGATGTAGAATAGACCGATGTAAAAAATGTATACATTTTTACATCGGTTCTGATAAACCGATGTAGATTTAAGCATAAATCTACATCGGATCTCCAGAGAACCAATGTAGATTTATGCTTAAATCTACATCGGTTGTCCAGAGAACCGATGTAGATTGTATTTTTAAAAAAATTAAAAAATCATGACCCAGCAGCAAGGTGCCAGCACAAACCAGCAAGGTGGCAGCAATATACCATGTTAATAATATTTCTTCCACTCATACCAAAATAAAAAATAAAACAAGTTCCTTTACTACAAAAAAAACTGATCCATATTTTCCTCAAACAAAGATAAACGTAAACTAAATTGCAAACCATTAAAAGAAATAATCCTCTGGTATGCAATATGCACTCTTGAATTTAAAAGAAAAATAAAAAGGACAAGTATACAAACCACAATATTTTAACATATAAAAAGATGGTGCTTTATTGCATCAAAAACAATATTAGAAAAAATGAATCACATTTTAGCCATGCATCTATTTACAGATTCTTCCAATTTTAATGGAAACCTACTCTTCTATATATATCCTCTCACAGATGACTAAATTAATAGTCTTTTCATCCAGATTTATTTCAATATAAAGGATAACTGTCACCAATCATATACAAATACATGGACATATATGACCTTAAGCATTACATGAGCACTCAAAGCTTTATACAACTTGGTAACAAAATGAGTAATTAAACATAGAACCAAATGAATCCAAAACGAATAGCCAGATTACAACATCATACACTTCCCAACTTAGACTTGAATATTGCATCAAGTGTGGCCGACTCTGCTTCCTGCATGAAGGTTAATTTAAGAAAAAAGGGACTATAAGTCAAAAACAATATTACGAAAGACAATTTAATAATAATGTATTTTGATAAAAAAAAAATAAAAATATTTTAGAGAAGTGTTTTGAAAAAATATTTATATTTATATATATTTTATAAATATTTTTTAAAGAAAGATAGATCTTTTAAAGTGAATTCTTAAAAATATAAAAATAATAATTAAAATATTAGCTTGTTCATTGATTGTCTTAGATTGCGCAATTAGAATTTTGCTCATTGGTTTCTCGATGGTTTTGTCTTTTTCCCATACTTGTTTGGCCTACCTTAGGTTCCCATTTCAAACGTTAATTAAAATTTAGTACACTAATTATAAGAACCTACCAAAAGGTTATGCAAGCATTGTAAGCTACAAAAAAGAAATGCATACCAACTTTGTCCAAAGAATTTTTTTACCTTAATAAAATGAGACTCGGGAGGAGTGCCTGCGGTTTCTTGAACACAGATTCCAAGTTGAGATACTTTTGAACATCTTATTCTGGCAGCATGACCAAATGTAGCAGTGCTATTGGATGTTTTCGTCTCTCCTATTTGTGGATTACATGCGAACTTGGGAGACTTGGATTCTGTTGTATCAATAGCAGTCTTGTTACATTATGCAACATGGTTCAATATAAATTTTTAAACAAGTTAAAAGAGGTTTTATGTACATATACATTTGGAAACAATGGGCAAATTTAGGAATATGTCATCATTGTAGCCATTAAAGTCTTTCCTTCGAATTTTTAACACCTGCATTTTCAAGGACTCTTACTGCACGTAACTGATGGGAAAATCAGAAGCTACATGTTGTCCGTCTAGTGAGATGTAATGAGATTAAAAACACGTTAGAAAATTATTTTTTCTTTATTATATTATAGGCCTTTTAGTTCTGATCCTCTCAAGTCCAAATTGTAGCTTTCCCTTTCACTTTCACATACACATTCTTATCATATAATCTAAAGGCATCTCAATGTGAATAAAATGTCACCTAATATTAGTATTGGAAATTTTTGGTCCCTTTAAATGAATTTACTCAATAAAGTTGATTCAAATTAGTCAAGGCAATGTCACTTTTCACAACACCAAAAATGATTTTTTGTGGCAATTTTTATGGTATTTAGCGATCATACAAATGGCCATTAATATCTTTACCGGCAATTAGATTATGGCCAGTGTATTTGGGGTCGGTAAAACTATTAGTGACATTTAAAGTGGGTGCTGGTAAAGACCTTTTGAATGGCTGGAAAAAATAAGAAAATCCAATCACTTTGTGGCAATTTAAAACCGCCACAAAATGCATTTTTATGTATTAGTTTCTAAGCGTTTAAAACCGCTACAAAATGTATCTAAAATTTTTCTTAATTCAACATTTCTAACAGTTTTAAACCGCCATAAAATTGCATTTTTTTCTCTTATTTACATTTTCTAACAGTTTTAAATTGCCAAAAAAAAAGAATTTTTTTACTTTCTTCACATTTTTTTACAGTTTTAAACCGTCAACTAATGCACTTTATTCTACATAATATCAATGCATTTTTATTATTTTAAAAAATAGATTTAAAAATATTTTAAAAAAGCGTTCATATTATAAATTGAGAAATAATAATCCATATATTTCAAGTAATTTTAAGTATTTATCAAATCACTTCACCATATATTCTTGAAATAGTATTTATTAATACATTATAATTTAGTGATAATTTAAAATTATAATCCATATATTTTCGATCATCAATACATTACCATTGCCACTTCACCCTTCAACATGTAGGAATATAATTTATACTAAAATTATATTAAAGTGATACTTTTTTATGGTAGGAATAATAATCCATATATTTCAGGTATTTCGATCATCAATACATTACCATTGCCACTTCACCCTTCAACATGGTAGGAATCCCTTCTAGCAAGCCCAATAACATCTTGCTTTTGCCCGAAACATGTCTTATCGGGGTGCCCTTGCCTGTTGCAGTGACATAAAAGATTATCCAAGCAACAACTACATGTGACAAATCATGCACCATCTGTTGGAATCCTACCTTCCTTGATCGCTGATTCATCTCCACAAAAACTTCAAGATCAAAGCAGCCCATGTGAATACAGGGTTTCAATCTTCCAGCAACCTTCATTCTCGAACCACTCATCTAAAAGTTTCACCAAATATAAAAACACTTAGTAGGACTTCATGAATTGCTAAAATAATTCATCTATTGATGAAAGCCTTACAGGACAACGAAGGTTGATAGTGAAAGTATCTGAAACCACTTCCAAATCACTATCACTATCGGCATCATCAGCTGCATTTCCGCCCCCCACACAACGGCAAACACGTGCAAGAGCATCTTCAAATTGCTCGCCATCAGATTCCCTTGGAATTAAGTTTAGGATCTAGATAACAAAAACTCAACTATTTAACAAACTTATAACAGTAATGGAAGGGAGCAACTGTTGTAAACATTCACAACAAAAGTAGCAACAAAAATGTAAGACCAACATCAAATAACAGATTGGCGGTTGGTTCAATAGTTGACAATCGGGCTTCTCATCTGTAATAACCAAAACTGGATTGAGAGTTGAACCAGACACGACCAATTAAAACCAGCAAATTTGGTCAAAATCCAAACCAGATCTAGTTATTATTATGTGAAAAAATTCAACATTCCTTATTTAAAAAAAAGTCTCACAAGCCAGACAACTTAAGCAAAAATACTGCTCAAGAAAAAATGAGAATATTTTAACTTACTTTAGAATAAAAGCATCACTTTATGAGGCCCATACCTGTGCTTTCCAATTTACAATGGCTGAACAAACATCTTCATGAAAGATAATAAAAAAGCATGACAAATTATTTCAAATTTCTAACTTTTAATAAATCAACCATAAAAGACTAACATTAGGAACATTGGCCAAACTTCAAACAGGGAGATACTTCAAACTTTACTATTCCAATGCCACAAGGCTGGATTAAGGAACCAACAGTAATTTAAAAGTTTGCTTGTAAATTTATCAAGCTTTGAATGCAATCTACCTGCTGCATACTGCGCTTTCGAACAATACGAACCCCTAAACAAAAAATGCGAGCATCACTTCCTGTTAAGGAAATCTTATTAATTCCGTCTTTTGTATATGGCGTGATCTGACAAAATAGAAGTACAGTAAGAAATTTAATAAAACCAATTCAAATAGTAAATGAACACATGTCTAACAATTTTAAATAGTTTGACAAGTCATAACTAAGTCGATAAATGAGAATAAACTTACAATTGGACCGTCATCCCGACCATTAGCACCAAGCAATTGGGAACCAGGTCTGTCAGTTGCACGAACGGGAACACCTATATAAGCATAATCAAACCAATGAGAACAAATTTCAAAGACAGTCACAAGACAATCATTGCAAACATATTTCGTGTTTTACTTTAAAATGACATGCTCCTAGATGCATAACATACCATGGAAATTAAAACTAGACAGCCAACAAGAAACCTATTTCCAAATTAGCAAGGAACACATGACTTAAAACATACCATTGACCTGCAGGTCTGCATACAGTGGCCACTGCATCCTCCACCAACCTACATACGCCCCTGTTTTGACATGAAAACTACATGTCTTTTATAAATCATATATAGTCAATTAGTAGATTATATGTTTATTTTATAAATTGTTACAATAACCAACTTATTAACAGTTGGGTTCTTTGGTTGTAATTATTTTCTGGTGGTGGACAATTTTGATTCAATGTCAATCCTAGCAACTAGCATCAGTGGAGGAATGAGTTTAGCATATTCCTATATTCAACACAAAACTTCCTTGATGAAATTACAAGTTGCTAGCTAGACTGCATAAACTTTTCTCATGTTCAGATCTAGGCTGAGGGTATAGGTGTATTCTGTAGGAGCTTTGCTCTGGAAAAATATAGGTATATTTCTTTTTTTTCATTCTTTCTTTTGTGATCCCTTTATGTTTTGAAGCTTATGTTAAATACAACAAAATCTATTTTTGCTCTTCAATATTAGTTTTCCTAACTTCCTATTGTCTCCCTGTTCACTCGAATACAAAAAGAACAAAAATACAAAGCTATCACATGGAACAGAACACATTCCCAGCAGGAACAATAGAATGGTCACTCCAAGCAAATGTCATGGATCATAATACATACAAAACATTACCTTAATACAAGAATTTCACATGAGTCTCACTAAATAGAGAGTGAGCACAAATTAGTTATGAAATTCACCTAATAATAGAAAGTATGTTGGAGTGCATTGATCTCACACAAATTTGAAAGAATAATTTAAGAAAAGTGGAGCCACACAATCATAATAAATAGAGACCTGGAATCTCTCTTCAGCAACTGCTTCCTTCAAGAGTCTCCTGAGACGCAAAGCAGGCTCCTCCTCCTCAAACAGCTTCAACAAGCCACGAATCCTAGCTACTTCCTTGTAATCCTAAAGAAAAGAAGCAAAATATGATGTTTAGGCATTAGCGTTTTGTCTTCCAATTTGAAACAAGAGTAACTAAGAAACCTCAGATTTAGCAGCAGCGACTTGCAACTGTTGCTTGAGAAAGGCGTAGGTTTGGGTCCTAGATAGAAAGGAGCTGGTGCTACCATTGTCTCCCTCGGAAGCACAGGCTACGATGGGACTACATTTTATGAATCTGTGAAGTATGAACGAAAAAATCAAAACCCTAAAATTGAAATTGAAGAGACGCAACCATTGAAGCTACGTGGGACAGATATGAGAAGCCATGACTGAAACTTGAAACAGCGCAAGAGTGAGAGTGAGACAATGTTGCTACAGTTGCCCCTCTTTACTTAATTTTACTAGATAATATAAACAACTCTTGTTGCATATTATCGTAGTAAAATATAAGTAAAGAAAATACCAATTTCGTCTAAAGTTTAGAGATATATGAGCACAGGGGCTCGAAACATTAAAAAACATGAGCGTGGGGCTCGAAACATTAAAAAACATGAGCGTGGGGCTCGAAATATTAAAAGAGTGAGCGCGGGGGCTCAAAGCATTGATAGAGTGAGCACGGGGGCTCGAAACATTAAAAGAGTGAGCACGGAGGCTCAAAAGATTGATAGAGTGAACATAGAGGCTTGAAACATAAAAGAATGAGTGCGGGGCTCGAAACATAAGAGAGTGAACACGGGGGTTCGAAAGATTGATACAGTGAGCATAGAGGTTTGAAGCATAAAAGAGTGAACACGAGAGCTCGAAAGATTGATAGAGTGAGTATAGAGACTTGAAAATTAAAAGAGTGAGCACGGGGCTCGAAAGATGGATAGAGGCTTGAAAATTAAAAGAGTGAGCACGGGGGCTCGAAAGATTGATAGAGGCTTGAAAATTAAAAGAGTGAGCACGAGGGCTCAAAAGATTGATAGAGGCTTGAAAATTAAAAACATGGGCGCGGGGACCCGAAAGATTGATAGAGGCTTGAAAATTAAAACATTTGATTTGTATTAAAATGTGAGAAGTGTTCGTTCATGTCCAATGCTCACTTGGCAT